GAAATTTGAGATTCTTAACAGTGTAGAATTCTAAAATTATGCGGTAGAAAAGACTCTAAAAATTCTGTTCTAAAATTCTCTATTTGGGTACTGGAGGCGAAAGTCGGAGTCAAATGTGGAAAAAATTATCAGAAGCCCGACACATTTTTGGAAATAGTAATGTGCAATGTTTCGTGCAATGTAGCAAGGTTTCGTGCGATAAATCAGTTGTTGAAGTCACGATGATGATGCCGCTGAAATATGATTTTTCGTAAAGAAACTAATGGGATTTTATATGGTACGATGCCGTCTTTTATCTAGATCATAAATATCAGTTTCATTTTAGATAAAAAGGCTTTCTGATCCAAATGTTACAGAGCTGCCAAATTATCATTACGCGGTATAAGGATAACTTAGGACTAAAGTATTAAAATTTTGAGCTTCTACGCTACCAAGAATTTTAAGATAACTCGCGTACAAAAAATGGCACAGGAAAATCAAGACTTCCAGAACTACATAATTTAAACAATTCCACAATTTCCACAATTTCGGGCAGTCAGGAATTTCATAATTCCAGAATCTCAAAACAGTGAGCGCTTCACATGTTTTCGAGTTTACGGAAACTGCGCAATTTCTGAATTTGAACACTCTAGAATGCGAGAATCTCAGAATTTCATAGTTTTTATGATTTCAAAATCTCAGAAAGGACGGGAGCGATTATTTGATGGAATCGGCCCCTGCTTGAATTCCATCGCCACATATATGGTTAGATGCAGAATGAACAGGAGAACATTCGCTCGCGACCGAACGACCATCAGTTACGTACCTTCAACCATCCCAGTCGAGCGAAACGGGAACAGGAGAGCAGCAAATTCGACGTGGAACTTCTGAAACAACGCGTCTTCCATCAGCAGCTGCCCCATTCATTTGACTCGCCTCAAGCGCCGACCCTGCCGATCATCGCCAACGTTCAAATTCAAGGAGCACGCTTCGCCTTGAACAACCGATGCCACCGAATCATTCAGCAGGCCAAATCGCAGCTGATGCTCGTCTGTGTGGCGGCAGCAGAGACCAAAGCCCGCCAATGCCAGGAACAGTTCGACTGAGACATGTACAAGATGGAGCAAACTCGCAACGATCCAGTGTCCAGCCAACGTCTGACCGATCCGATGGTCGACATCCTCCAGCGTCGATTCAAGCATATCGAAGAGCGCATACAACGGCTCTACCACATGAAGGTGAATTTTTTCGAAGAAGCTCTGGGGGTCACGAGCAAGTAACTGTGAGCCGTCGCAGCGATATTTATACAGACACCATTGGCTGCTCACCAAGTCTGATTATTGGCGCTGATCATCATCTGTCCGACGAACAAGCTTGCCTGCTCGGTCGTGGTCCCACCTATGTTCCATCGTGTTTCATGCATGTCTCTCCATCATTGTCGTTCGAAGAAACCTGGTCCAAGCAGTGGAGTCTCCTTCGGCAACAGTTGACCTTGTTCTTCTCACGATACAGTGTGAGTATCAATCGGAAGACGACGTTTCAAGCCGCATCGAAGACGCTCTTTCAAGAATCCTTCTCCGCACCCTTACCGACTTCGATTCAAATCCGTGCCGCCCACGAGTGCCGTCTCGTTCGATCCGTCCGCCGACCATTGGCCGACGAACAACTGATACTGCGACGGACGGCCGATGATAGCAATGTCTTCTATCTCGGTCGAGCCAGCGAATTCCAAGCCAAAGCCGATGATTACCTGAAGAACAATACCTCGTTCGAAAAGCTCAGTGCCATCGATGAGCACACTCCGCAGCAACCACAATTGGAGGAAATGCTCAAATCAATCGATGCCATTCTGCAAAACATGCGTCAGAATCGGCAGATCGGCGAACAGCATTTACGAGCGATGCAACCGAAGAAAGTCAACGTTCAGCTGCCGTATCTCTACTTCTTGTCCGAACCACAACCGGACGGTAGTATCGTCTTGCAACCGTTCATTTCCACCTGCAACCGGTCTCCGATCCAGCCCTTGGCACATTTTCTCCACGAATTCTTGCGACCATTGTACGAGAGTCACACTCAATCCACCTCCTTGTCCAACGGCGCCGGCTTGATCGAGAAACTGGTGCGACACTGTCACGACGTCCTTCTTCCCCACACACGCTTCGTGACCATTGAAGTGCGCCAGGTCTACCTGCTGGTCTCTCACCAGCGAATCGTCGATGCCTTGGGCCATTTTCTCAGCAGCGTCTTAACCACGGGTCGACATCAGAATCTGTCCATCGATACCGTTCAACACTTGGTCGAACTGGTCTTACGGAACAATCTCTTCGCCTACCAGGGTCACATCTATCGGCATATCAAGGGCAGTCCTTGCAGTTTACCGTTGACACACACCCTAGTGGACATTTATCTCTGGGACTGGCAAACCTCACTGGTCGGTCAACTCGGTTATCACGAAGAATTCTACGGCCGGTCAGAGACTCTTTCGCACACTTCGCCGAGTATCGTCCTCTCTTCTAGATACTACGACAAAGTGCTTCTCACCTGGAATCCCTCGAACGAGCGCTTGCAAGTGCTGCTCACCGAGCTGAACCAGAAGCATCCGGACATCCGAATGACCACAGGCATCGGCTCCAGTGTGCATTTTCTCGGGGCGCACATCGAGAATCGTCGCGGTGAGCTCTACTCGTGTGTGCATCACGACCCAACGGCAGCACCGTTTCTCCTGCCCTACGTGATCGGCCATCCGCGTTTGTCCTACCGACAATGGTTCCAGTGAGCCCTACGCCGTGCGGTGCGCTATTGTACGACGATGGAGGATTTTGACGAAGAACGACGTTACATTGAATTAACTCTCCTGGCACACGGATATTCCACGGATTTCGTCAACATGGGCCTGAGCACGTTCTTTGCCCAGTACTTTGCCGTTTCTCTTCGCACGCATCTTGAGAGGCCAGTGTACGAATCCCTGCGACGGCGATTGTTGAGCTCGGTGCAACTCGAACGGCAGTATCGGAAACAGCAGCAACAGTGGCGATCGAACCAACAATCGATTCATTTGCATTATCTCTACGATTGGGGTCCCCGATGCCAATTCAACCGCAAATTCGAACAACTCTGGTCGGATTTGATTCGCGACGATGCCGTGTTCGCCGACACCGATTTGAAACTCCAACTGAGCAGTGTGCATTGCCATCTGTTGAACGCTCTCCTGACCGATGCATGATTGATCGGTGCCCATCATTCGCTTCTCACTCTTTTCAGACAGGGGGATAACAAGTCATATATAGGGAAAGCTCGTGAGACATATTTATAACACTCAGAGAAGGAAACTGGCTAAATATGTAGATGTAAATCTCTCCCCGAGAGCTGTTATGCGTTACACTTCGATGAGCAAGCCATGAGTAACGTCAAATGAGGAGCTGTTAAAGCAAATGGCACTTCTGAAAGAAAAATTAGCCAAAATTAGTGCTGCAATGTATGATCTGGAAGATAAAAGAATCCTAACTTCGGATGATTTTGATCGATTATTAGCTGAGAATGAAATGGCCTACCACGGCTACCAGCTGGTGAAAATAGAAAACATTTTCGGATAAGATAAAATCTACGTTTAGCATAAGATGCAGTATCTACATTTAAATAAGAAAGAGGAGAGGTCCATATTCCATGTGTCAGAAAACAACAACAAAAACGTTTAAATTTATTAAATAGGACTAAAACAGTTTAGAGTTATTTTATGCTTCCAGTATTATCAATGATATCAATGATATTTAGGGTTTGTTTAATCGGAATATTATAGAGCTTTTCAAGAGCTATTTTTCTGTACTAAAGACTAGTTCCATCCTCCCTTATTTATGGGAGACTATTAAGGGTCATTGGGCTCATATTTGACCTATAAAGGATTGAGCCAATGATTTGTAGGCTTTGTTTACTTATTTATTATTGTTATATTATGTTATTTGTCTTTAGTACAGAAAAATAGTTCTTGAAAAGCTCTATAATACTTCCATTAAACATACCCTACATATCATTAGCTCAATCCTTTATAGGTCAAATATGAGCCCAATGACCCTCAAAAGTAAATACAATTGATGTTTTACCATTCTAAGAGAGGATGCAACTAGTCTTTAGTACAGAAAAATAGCTCTTGAAAAGCTCTATAATATTCCGATTAAACAAACCCTACATATCATTGGCTCAAACCTTTATACATAGCTCGGACAATTGTACTAATGTTGAGAGTCTAAAACGACCAATAAATTTTGAAGTATGTATATGTGTGTATATATACGAAGTTAGGAACTCAGGAACTCAGAAATTCATGTAGTCATATATGTGTGTGTATAGACGAATTCGGAAATTAAAGGACCACTAAATTACAATACAATTTTTAGAAGCCTATGAGACAAAGATAGAGTCAGCAGCGAAACACTTCAGAATTCTGCGATTCTAATATTGGAGAATTGTAGAATTTTAAAATTCTGAAATTTGAGATTCTTAACAGTGTAGAATTCTAAAATTATGCGGTAGAAAAGACTCTAAAAATTCTGTTCTAAAATTCTCTATTTGGGTACTGGAGGCGAAAGTCGGAGTCAAATGTGGAAAAAATTGACGGAAGACGGAAAGCTGCTCTGCTATCACTGGAAAGCGATAGTGTCAGAAAACCTAACATGAATAGAAAAAATTCAAAGATTGAAAGCATCACACGCCTATCGTGAGAAAAGCTACCATATCTAGCTTCGCATCAACTAAGAAGATACTCGGATGGCTTCAATCAATGCTGATTCAAATAAATCACACAGCAAGATCACAATTCAACTGTTACATAACCAAGAGAAGAATAACTAATGCGATTCGAGTTACAGTAGTGAGTTATAGAAAAATCGGACGATCGCTATTTCATCTCAATCGCGAGAAGAAGAATCATCAGCTGAAATAGGATGATCTACATCTGATTCTAAGAAGAATTCATTCAAATTTCCGAAAAAACTAAAAGAAATTCTACAAATGCTATTATAAAGCAGATAATTCAAATGAACTAAACGAATTATACCAGATACTATGATCAAGAATGTACATCAACTGCCGAAATCATCGGATAGTATAGAGCTCAATCATGAATCGAGAGAAAGATCACCGTTGACTTGAACTAACTCATTAGTACATTCACGAGTATTAAATCGACTAGCCTGTAACGTAACGAGATATTCTATCGAAGATAATCAGAAGGTTGAATTCTTTGTATGGATTACTGTTACCAGTGCCCTGTAACAAGTCACCATCAATCGATACAGCGACATTACCGCGAGACAATACCGCGAACGACAATACCGCGAACGACATTACCGCGAACGACGTTACCGCGAACGACATTACCGCGAACGACATTACCG